TGAAGAAGAGCCGGTAGGCAAATATACGTCACCTGAACATTCTGCTTCCAATAACGGACCTCTCTCTCCTCTCTCTCTCTCTGTTTCTCTCGACCTTTAAGAACACTCGTGATGACCTCTTGCGTGACAACATGTACGACAGGCTACAGTCCAAAGGACAAACAGGGGTATAACAAAGTGTAATGTACAAAATAAATTGAGATAAAACAATAAGCACAATAAAGTCATGGCGAAACGGTAATGCCGACTTCAGCAGAATGTGCTGTTGAGCTGCTTGAAATAAAAGCGCGTTATCGAAACGGAGACTTGGAAAGACAAAGGCAAGTGCATAAGTATTAAGTCCCATATCAAGTTACACTCTCGCATTTGAAGTATCACGAATCACCAAGTCATACCACCCGCCATTATGCTGCGTCATTTGTTTGATGCTTAACGTGAGGAGCACAAAAGTACGTACTAAATATCGAAACGGAAAGTTTATACACGAATGAATTGCAATAGTTAAGCAAAAAATAGAGTTCTCGTGTTCGCTAAAGCGTCTCTGTCTTTGTATATATGCCTTCATTTCTTCTTGTTTTTTTTTTTTTACGTGCGCTACAAGAAAACTTACTGAAGTGTCTAAATCAGCTTAAGGCGAACGACATAGACCACTTTAGGTCGTGCGCGGTGCCGCTGAGCGTTAATAATGCCGTCCGGGACGATCTCCTTGCTTAAAGCGCCGATATTTTGAAGCACCTTGTATGGCTCGACGTATCCCCGAAGAAGTTTTTCACCGAGTCCACGTTGACGTATCGGCTTCCATACTCAGGCACTGTCTCAGGGCTAATATATTCTACTTGGCGTCATAGAAGGTGAAAAGAAAAGATAGAAAAAAAGAGAAAGCTTATCCGTATATGTAGCATTGCAAGGAGTGAGAAAGAGACAGATGAGAAGGTCAATCTAATAGCCGCTAGACACCCACAAGCTCTCAACTGTAGCATTGCATGACTTGAAAGCCGTACCAGTACCAGTGCTGTATCTGTCCGTCTTTCTGTGTGTTCCATACTAAATTCAAGGCTTTGGTTTTTCAAACTTCTTACGTATCAAACAACATGGCCAATCATCCGTTTTAGATGAGAACACTACATGACTGTTTTTCTTTTCCTACAGCTGATGTCGCCAGGGCGAATAGCCTACTTCTGTTTAAGGTCCGAGACGGAGTTCTTCGAGGTAATGCGGTATCTTCCTCTATATCTGTTAGTTCGCGTTTCACGTTGTTAGCACGTCATTGCCTGTTATCTGTCATTGTTGCCTGTTCTAAGATCTCATAACGAATGTTTCTTACATGTGATATATTTTTTCCAAATATATGGCCGGCAATTCCTTTTCTACTAATCGTACGCGATTTGTATTGGATAAAACGGATTAGCTGCACGTATCTTCTTGGACAACGTGTCTGGCATAACTTAAAAGGCCACCCTCGTGCACTTCAAGGAGGCAACAAAACTTGCTGGGTCTCTTAATGCAAGGCGAAGGTCAATTTATTTTTTTTTTGAGTCTATGCAATAGTGTGCCCCCCCCCCCCCCTTCCTTCTGAAAAAGTTATGCACCTAGCGCGTCGTCTCGCAGTGCCTTCAGCATCGGATGCATTGCAAGCTTCCTGCTCCTCAACTAGTTACGTATGGGCTCCGTGATCGACCCACTTTCAACCAATCAACAATGTCATGTTATACGTCATCATGTGATGCCATATTAACGTCTGACGACATTACGTGATGTCGTGATCACGTGTGGACATTTTGCAACACTGGTGTTAACGCCGACGACGCGACGCCCCCCGTCAATTTTCGTGTTTGGCGAGGCATCTAAGGTTTTCGTCTTAATAAATATGCAACTCTTGTTTTTTTTTTTATTCCTAAACTCTACGCGTTAGAGCGTTGCCGGTATTAGGGCACATTAAGGAAATTACACGCTTACGGATTTTTTAAATTGGGGGGCGGGGGGGTAAACAACACGAGGGAAGGCAGGGAGGTTAACCAGGCACGTGCCCGGTTTGCTACCCTACGCTGGGGGAATAGGAAGGGGGCATAAAGATGAGAGAGAGAGAGGAAAGAGAAGAGAAAGAGAGAGAGAGAAAAAAGAGGATTGTCAGTCAATCGGCTGGCGCGTATGCAGCGGTGGCACTACACAAAAGTTAAAGGTGGTCACATAGGCCTGTAGTCCTCAAAAAGCACAAGACAGCTTTGACTGCTTTTTGAGCCGACGAAAGGCGGTGACGGTTTTCCAGTAGCATCTGCACAGAGAGTTGCTGATCGTCTAATTGTCGCAATGCGTCCGAAAGTTTCTGTCTTTCAGAGGCAAATCGAAGGCAATGGCATATCAGATGGTCGATGTCTTCTTTGGTGCAGCAGACGTCGCATTCCGCATTGTCGGTCAATCCGATGAGGGTTCTATATGTTTTTGTGAAGGCAACCCCCAACCAAAGGCGACAAAGAAGCGAAGCTTGACGTTGACGAAGTCCGGATGAAGGTCGAAGTTCCAGCCGAGGGTTTATTTGGTATAGTCTCGTATGTCTTATGCTTGGGGTGTTCCACTCCTGCAGACTCAGACTATGTGCCAGGTGACGAAGTTGCTTTGCAGTTTCAGTCCTTGACAACGGAATCGGAAGGGTGTGCTCTTCTTGGTGTGATGTGCGAGCCGCGTTGTCTGCGGAATCATTGCCACTGATCCCACAATGGCCAGGAAGCCACTGAAACTTGACCTTGAATTTGGAAATTGCGTATTAAAGAAACAATCGCGGTAGACGGGCAGCATGCAGCAACCTCGTTTAGATGACTGGCAGCGCCGCGCTCATGAGGAGTTGGCCTTCGAATGAAAAAAAAAAAAGAAGCCAAAAACCGGTCGCACTGTCCTACTTTAAGTGAACGCGAGGACCGCAAGAGAGTGAAATCTAAGAACTCCACCGACTCAGTGAAACATCGTCCGGGGGTGTAGCTCAGATGGTAGAGCGCTCGCTTAGCATGCGAGAGGTACTGGGATCGATACCCAGCACCTCCACAATTTTTTTTTTTTTTTTTGCAAGCAGCCTTCAAGCTAAAGCCGTGCTACAATGTTATATAAATGATGCCTGCGAACGTTGCAGCGCCCGGCGTTGTTTCGCACTTCTTCCATAATCGACCCGTCATTGACCAAGCTACGGCGTCATATTATAAAGCGGTCATGTGACGTCACAATTTTGCGATAAGTGACTTCTTGATGAAGTCGTGACTTCCTGATTATGACGTCATGAAGTCCATTTTAGCGTTTGTTGTGGCATCTAAGACTGCCGCCATATTAATCCTCTAGAGGAATCGCCACTTTACCAGCACACAAGTGTGCGGGAATTGGGGAATACGAGGTCTAATTAATTGCAACACATACCGTTATCTATCTACTACGCTGTAAGGTAAAGTTACACTATAACGTCGCTGTTATCAAAGACATATAATAGATCAAGAATTAGCTTTGCAGTTTAAATAGCACTTATTTTGTGAGCCAAGACTGACGCGACGTTTTATTATTGTACCATGTAAGAAGACGTTTGTAAACACGAACGTGCCTAAAGGTGCGCAGCATAGAAAACGTAGGTGGCCTGTCATGAAATGTCACAACATATATGTTGGCATTCAACAGACATAACTGCCTATTACAAAACCTAAACAAAGCGTACGAAGAGAGAAAAAAAAAAGACCTTATTGAATACAATGGGCCGGCAGTTTGGTTTCGGTAGCGGCCCGTTGTCCCTGGACTCGCGCGGCCCAGAGCTGGTCGTTCAGCTCCGAGCGGTTTGAAGGGCCGCCTCGCTGCGGCGGTAACGCTGACGAAGGTGGTTTCTCGGGGCTCCCGCAGCCGGGGCGGTGGCAGCTTCCTGCGGTTTGGCATTGACGGCCGCTAGAGGCGCATCGCGATTGGCGGCGCTTTCTCGACAGTTGTCCACGGCACATTCCCAGAGCGCGTGGCTCAGCGTTGCACTGTGCCAGGATGCTTTGCACATATCGGTGCGGGTTCGAGTATAGTTAGCGTATAACGACCATAGGGTCGTTTTACGCTGCAAGCGTAGTGAGTTTGGAGCACGGTGTAAGAATAGTTTACCGTGGTTTGGAGTGAGCGAAAGCTTACGGCGTCGCACCTATCTAATTTCTCGTGCGGTGGCAGGAACCTACGCTTTTCGAGCTTGTAGTGTTGGGTTAATGATGTCTCGGAATGTTGCCAGACGGTCAGCCCATGACCGCTCTGATTCTTGTTGCTGCGTGCCTATATCAAAGAGTCTTGATCTAGCAGACGCATGCAAAGCCCCGTTTTCGGAGTCAGAGGTATACCGGGTACGTAATTGGCTGCGGATCGGCGAGTGAGACCTCGAGCTGTGTAGAATATCGTTGGCGCGAAACTTCTAAGAAGAGGAGATAAGAGACACGGAAGACGAGAAAGACGAGAAAGAGCACACTCGCAACTGACTTTTATTAAATCAGAGCTCATCTTCTGAAACAATCACGCATGCGTGGAAACGCACGAAAAGCACAACCAACTATTTTTATCAGAATGCATATCAGAATGCATATCAGAATGCAAAGCTAAGTACAAAGGCCTCAAGCATTTTCGCTTCCATCGAGAATGAGGGCGCTGCGGCCGGGATTTTCGATGCCATGACTTAAAGGACGGTATAGATACGGAAATACAAACGCAAGAGAGAAGTAGGCACAATACAAATGCTATGAATGACATGGGTGCACTTTAAATAACCCCAGGTGGTCGAAATTTCCAAAGCCCTCCACTATATGGCGTCTCTCATAATCATATGGTAGTTTTGGGACGTTAAACCCCACATATCAATAACCATTGACCATAGCTCAGCTATATGTCGTTATGAGAAGAAAACGTGTTTAATATGAGACGCTGTTGTAATAGTCTTTTTTTTTTGCGGATGTCTTGTACACTTGTTTTATTGTTTATTCCTCCTTTTTTTTCTATTGCAACACTGCACGCCTAGTCACGCTGCTGCACTTGTTCGAGAGAAGACTTCCGAGCCACGGTTTGTATTGTCTTCGGTTGTATTAGGAGATCTTAAAAAACTGTTGCCATGATGATTGCTTGACAGCTGAAAGAGCTAGATGGTGTAAAGCGATAGACATCAGTGTTTATCTGTGTAGCGTTACGCTTCACAATGGGATAAAGAAAAAACTCCAAACTAACTGAATGTATACCTTAACAGAGCACACCAAGCGAAGATACACGAATGAGGGTACATAATTAAGGAGAGAAGGTTCGGCTTGCTGGTCGTACATTAAATTAGGGTTAGGTACACACTTAGTAGCGGAGAACATATTTAGACATCAAGATGACACGAGCGCTAGTGTCGCGTTACTTATGGCAGTCCTATTTAAGCTACTCCACTGACGTAGGGTAATGTAACCTTCCCTCGTGACTCCATTTATGAAGGCACGTGTGCTGTTGACTTCCTCCTGTGCAAAAACTCAGCTAAGGTAATCATTCTTTCATGAAATACAGTCACGAGTATTGACGAGCTATGTTTTGCAGAAAAAGAGTTGATCAATTTTAACATAGCAGAAAGGTCACACACTGCCAACAGTCCCTGTAGATATTGACTTTATCTTCGGGGAAAATTGCGTAACCTTTAGACACTGTCAGTATTGTGAGATGATTTAAACGTGTTTGAAGACAATTATTTTTTTTAATCTAAAACGCAAGTAAGCACAAAAGTAATGGTTCAAACATTCTTCCCACTGTTAATGCGGAAAGAGGTGATGAAGACGATAATATTTACGTTACACACTGTTAAATGTTACTTCTTGAGCTCACGTAGTGCTTAACCACAATATATATCTCGTTTCAGCTTCAGTTATGCCTCAACTTGGTACGTATATCCCGAACGTTCACGGCTTCCTTAATTTGAAAAAAATAAAAGTCGGCTTTTAAGTTGATTGAATATTCTCTCCACTCTTAGGTGTACTTGCCTCGAACGCTTAATGTGACCCAAGCTTCTTGCATTTCGCGAAATTGCTGCAGGGGAACAGCCTTGTACACGGTGAGCGATGAAACCATGCAGGTTAAACTATATACGTATGTCCCTGACAGTGGCGGGTTGTTCTTTCTTCCACTTTGCTTTCCTCATATCTGCATCACAATTGTTAGAATATATTTGAAACAGTCTGCCGTGATGGAGCAGTGGCTAGAATGCTCGGCACTTACCCGTAGGTCACGGGTTCAGTCCGAAAGACGGCAGACACGCATTTCGGAGGGGGGGGGGGGGAGCAAAATGGTAAAAGGACCATGAACTGTACGATATCTGTGCACATTAAAGACCACCAGGTAGTTGAAATTTCCGGAGACCCTCACCATGCCGTTTCTCATAATGATATCTTGGTTTTGGGATATAAGCCCCAGGATATTATTATTATTATTATTATTATTATTATTATTATTATTATTATTATTATTATTATTATTATTATTATTATTATTATTATTATTATTATTATTATTATTATTATTATTATTATTATTATTATTATTATTAGACAGTAGAATGAACGACCTTTGTACTTTTCCCGACTTAATTACCAGCTCATCTTCATTAAGGTTGGGTCAAACAAAAAAAAAACGAGCCATCAAAACTGACGTATGTGAGGCTCGTTGATGAGCTTGTGTGTTCATCACTTCGAAAAAGAAGTGCTAGTACCCACAAACAGAACAGGAACCAAGTGGGGACACTGACAGACACTAGCGTTACGTGTGACAGATACGCCATCTTCTGTCATTTGGTGCCACATGAATTTTGAAGCGCAACCAACTGTGCCGACAACGTGCCTTAGCAAATGAGTTTTGATTGAGAAGTGAAAGTGCCGAAATTATACTGGGTCAAAATTAAACGTCATGTTATTCTAACCTTACAGAAGCTGTCGTGGAAAATTATGCGTATGTGTTTAGGTTGAAGAACCAGAGTTTTGTTTATCGTGCTGCATGCGACAGCGGCAGATAAAAAAAAATACAAACGTTGTTCGTTAAAAATTCAACACTTTTAAAGGTGGCTGTTTTTAGAAGCCTAAGCAGATATCTATCCTTTTCTCTTACAGGGAGGAGCCGTGGGATAATACTTATCGAAAAGTACGGGCTCAGTTCTCCGAAGTGACATACCTTATGTTTTCATATGTCAACGTACGCAGTACGTACATTTTTTTGTATGAACATCGTGGGAACACAAAAAGGTTATAACACCAACACCACTTGTCATCCGCGTTTTTTTATTTGTGTAAATTTTCGAAGCACATTGTTGCAATTTATACTTCAGCAAGTTTACACGAAATGTCAAATAAATTTTGATTACTGCTGGTGTGCTTGCCAGTTCTTCATTGGCAGAGAATGCATCGTGTACAAGCAGGGTATGGATTCACCTTACTCGCGAGGCTTAACTCTGTCTTAGCGGGAAAATAACGGACTGAGTCCACTTCTTTTCCGTCTTCAGAACATTGACAAGATAAATCCGCTGGTGTTCATCTTGGTGATGTACTCCATTGTTATATGTTTCAGCGGCCGACTACAAGAACAAGAAACCGCAAAAGACACGTGATACCCAGAATGGATGAATTTATATCTCAGTTTCTCCATGCCTTCCTTTGGTTTAATTTTGTCATAACATTTATTAAGGTTCATTTTAACGAGAAATGCAGCGCATCGCTTTCGCATAAGAAAGAAACGTAGCAATATGAAATGCCCAAGGCAGCGAAAATCACCGTAAGATATATCTCTGATATAATACCCTGATAATAATGTAACAGGATTGCGTGCCAAAATCTCAATATTGACGGGACGCCATTGTGAATAGATCATGAAATTCCGGCCATCCCGCGTTAACGTGCACTGGAATTACAAGTATAGAAGCTTGGGCTAGTTGGTCTGGGTTCATGATCGGGATTTTTCAGCCCGTGAGCATAGAGGAAAACTGAGACTCTGTAGGAAATAAATGGGACTCCGTTCAGTTTTTTCCGTATGTTTACGGGCTGGAAAAATTTCCCATCGTGCACTAACACTGTACACAGGCCTCTAGCACTTCGCCTACACCTAAATGCGACTGCAGCGCCATGGCCATGACCGAACCCGCTACCTTTGGGTCGGCAGCCGAACGCAATAATTGCTAGACAACTGCGGCGTACGCGCACGTTTCAATAGACAACGATTTTCTATGCCTTCATTCACACTGACTCTCATTGGTCCTGTGAGTGCTTGGTGACGTATGACACCTAGTCGGCATCCCTTTTGGCAAAGAAATTCTCCGTCAGCCACGGCATAGATCTAACCCGTGACTTAAGCAGCCGATCATATCTGTATACTGATCTACCGTGGCAGACAGGTGGTTTGTTACCCTACGTTGGGGAAGCGTAAAGGGTAGACAGAAACGTAAGTGTAGAGAATGAGGTACGTCGTGGCTCCTTGCGTGAAGCACTCGTTGCACTTCGATGGGCCACTTTGTCGTCAATACAACGTCTACTGAACGAACAAGGACTAAGCTAATACAAATAATTAAAATAACAAGGAAATCATTATAATTAACTTAATACCACTCAACGTTTCGAAAACATGCAACTGACTCTGGTGCCGCTCAAGAGGGAGAGCTACCACCTCGCACAGCACATGATTTCTTCCCTCGCCGGCTCTCTACGACGTCATCTCTGAACGAGTAGGACTAAACTCGCTGAAGCCGACCCGTTTCTCAACTGCTTTCACGAGCAGGAAGACGATAAACCACAGCAAAAAGAAGCGCACTTGTCGCACGCAAAGTATGAGCCAAGAAGGCCATGTTTAGCCCTTAAGATTGACCAGCTCCACTGTCCCTCAAGCTTTACACGGCTAATGTAAAGTTCCTCCTTACTTTGTTGTGGCTGGCTGTCCACTTTTACTAGTGAGTCTTGTGATTGGGCTAGTTCGTAACCTATCTTCAACAAACGGGGCAGGAGCGGACAATGGACAAAGAAGTCTTTGTTTCCCTTCTTTGTTCATTTTCTGCCCCTGCGTTCTTTGCTGAAGGTGGGCAAACGAGCCGCTGTATACGGACATCTGTGCCCCTCACCCCTTTGTTTTTTAGAGTTTAACCACCGTGTTGGGCTGGGGCCACGTGGGTCATAGGAACCATGTTACAGCTTTTATTGGGTGTGACTGTACATTTAAAGCAAGGCTATGTGTAACCACAGATCCACCGTAGGGCTACGTGGCGTATAGAAGCGCTGCATTTCGCCCTCGATTCTAAGAACTGCAGCTCTTTCCAAATGTGACAGTCTGGCGATGCCTTGGAGACAGTGACGCAAGGCCTGCGCATATCCCTGGAAATTTCAGCGTTTCATATGAGTGAAAGAAGGAGTAGAATATCCTGTGACACCAGCTTATCAGAGATCAAGGTCAGTTACGACACACATGCGATTTGGCGATGCAGATTCACGACACTGTTGAGTTGTAATAAAGCCGTAGAAGAGCGAAGTTCTAAGCTTAGGTTCTCGACAACCATTACGCAGCAAGATGAGGAGAAAGTTATGACGACTTGAAGATGTGTTAGACCGAACAGTCTAACGGTGCCAATCTCGTGAATTTTGTAAGGTGAAACAGGATCATTCTCCGAGATGGGATACTTGTGTTCAGCATGTTGCATCGTACCTAATCTTTCCTCAGACGAAAGCAGCACCAGCCACTCAAAGTACTTTGTCAGTTTCCGATAAAATGAGACATTTCACGGCGGCCATGTGTCCTTTTGTAATTGCGTTCACCAAGGAGACTCGAAATGGCAGTATCTCTTCCGAGAATACGTCACACAACCATCGGCGCCTGACACAAATCCTTGTTCCTTCGAGGAAAGAAGAGATAATAAGTAACAGAATGCGGGCGTAGGATAGCGGCGTATATCCATAACGGATCCCGAAAGGGAAGCAAAAGGAACGCACGCGTCACCAACGGTACGTCAGACGGGTGCCTGCGGGATAGCGTTACACAGAAGAGCTCACTGGAACTCGCAGAAAATTCTCGCCCCCTTTTCACAACGCCTCGGGGATTTTCGCCGAGACGTTTTCCATTTGCGGAGTCGCGCAGCAAACGTGTCGAGATGGGATTTGCAGCCTTACCGAACATGAGCGATTTCGGACGCGTTTTGAACGTGTACCGCGTGCATAAGTAACGATTTACATCTTCCAGAAGTAAAAACGCATTCTATCCAGGCGTGTGTGCTTACCGAAACACATTTAAAAGGCTCATATAGGCAAGCAATGTGAAGGCCTACACTATGTTTGCTCATGTGGAAACGTCTTGTATTGCGTAAGATAAGAGACCTGAACCAATCACCGTTTAAGTTTACCGTTATAAGGAAACGTACAAGCATTGACGTGGGTTACCTTTCTGTAGAACTTTACACAGACGGCTTTACGGGCGACACCATTATTCTTCATGGGCTGCGCTAAGTAAGCGTGACCCCCCCCCCCCCCCAAAAAAAAAAAATGTATGGTCAAGGCTGCGATGTCAGCGTTTGCACTTCCGCACGCAGACCGGCATGAGGTCGTTTTTTTTTTCCACTCCCGTGAAAAGGTCTATAGGTGTTTCCTTTACGTATCTGCTCTGACGCACTCGTTTAAGCGTCTACATATTGGCAACTTGATTGACACGATAGCTCCATCATAAGCTTTGGGGCTGTGTACGTGGCATACGCAAAAGTGTCGGGCCTTTAAGAACGCCGTGTTTTGCGTATTGCGCTTGCGTTATTCCATATTTTCATGCAAGCCAGTGCTGACGGCACGTCGAAATTGCCCATAAATTAGTGCAGATTGTTTTTGTCACGAGGAACCGATAAGCACCTTTCGAACGGTACAGATATGCACGCATATTTAACGTCAGTAAACTGTCGTTCATTTACATTGTTCGTGAAATGGCATTGTAAGCTGGCAATTCCTACAACCTACCATATCTTCACTTTTTCACTCTTCATATCTTCACTTCACTGTT